CCCTCGACCTCCCACTCAGCAGTCCAGCACTCTATCCATTGAACTAACCGGGAGGCAGTTGAGGAGTTCTTAGTGGTAGCAAGTGAGATACACACCTTGTCTTTTGCTGGGGGGTAACAGACCAAGCTTTGCCATAAAGTCAAGCTTCTGTTAAGGAAAATTGAAATTTTAGTCATTATCTTTTGCACTCTAATATAAAAAATAATGCCTGATTCACCACTGAAAATAATAAGAGGGAATAAGGATAAACCTTCCCTATCTTGACAATATTTTCAAGAATGCTACAGGATGGATTACATGTCACTTTTCTTGTGCAGATACCAAACATTTTTCTGAACAGAGATGATTCAGAACATTTGTGTCACCACAACACCAAATGCACAATCCAGATGGCATAACTTCCATATCCCCATATGCAATAACAAATGAACCACTTTCTGCAATTCTCAATAAGAACTGGTTTTCCCACAGAACTTAGTGTACTCTGTTAAAATAATTATTAATTATTTTTTCTCACCAACCCCTTTCCTATTGTTCATATCTTCATAGCAACATGCAATGTTCTTTGAATATTAACCAATTCACAGACTTTCAACAGTCTGATGTTAGCTAAACAATGCTAATGGACTGACCTCTGGGCTAGGAAGAGGTGGTGGTGTGTTTTCAATGTTTCCATCATTGTCACCATTAACATTGCTATCATTCAATAAGTTATTGGGGGAATCAACTCCATTTTCATTGTCATGATCACCATCATACTTTCTTTTGGAGTTTGTTCCTCCTTGGCTCAACTCTGCAATGAAAAGGTACATAAGCATAAACACATAATATAAAGAAATCTATAGACCTATCGCTTCTGTTTTATTAGTGGGGATTTCATCCCAAAGTGCATCAAATTTCAAAGCAAATGTCTGTAGCTTGCTGGCAACATAACAGAAAGGTGTCATCCCCCCTCATAGCCAAATGCCCTGAATATTTTTTAAAAAATCACACACTATACAGGGCTCAACACTAACTTTTCAACTTACCAGCCAAGTGGCTAGTGACAACTTAGATGTTACAGCAGTTTCAGTTTGTTTACTAGCTAAACTGGCTGTGGAAATTGAAAACCACAAGCCAAAACTGAATTTTTACCAGTCTGTGGTTAGTTGGCTGCCCTTAGTGTCGAGCCCTGCTATAGCAAATTGTTTAAATTGTCAATAGCAATTATTTTCCATCCTATGGCTAGTATCTAAACAGTTGATTATTTGATTTAGACAAAGGGAAGATTCAGAGAATATTCTGAAAAAAAAATTGAGACAAATGAATGTCAGGTCCAAAATTGAAACTTATAATCATACAAATAAACCGCTTCCCAGTTAGCTCGATTGGTTAGAGCGCCAGATTGTGTTGTACGGGAAGTCGAGGGTTCGAGCCCTGGCGGGACCAATACTCATGGTCTTAAAATATGTGAGGAGAATTTGCTACCTTTCTATAATCAGAAGAAACAAGAGGAAGAACTAGAAAAGTAGAGGCCGTCCTCCAAAAAGGGTGCAATGGGATAAAGAAGTTAGTGCATCATTTCAAGCTAAGACCATAAACCCTGAGTCAAAACTGTATTTTATTACACATCTCGGGCAGTCAGAGGGCCAATAACTAAAATCAACCAATGTTCTATTGCCGGTCAATATTCTCTCAGTATTGGACCGGGCACATTGAATGGTCCCAAATGATACCGCACTTGTGTCCCTTTGAACTTCAGTCAAATAATAAATCTCTTATTAACCAAGCTTGCTCGGGACCGTACTGGAAGAATATCGGCCCTCGGTCTTTTTTTGTATGGACCTCGCGCCTCGCTGCGCTTGGTCCGTACTGTCAAGACCTCAGGCTGTTATTCTCCCAGTACGGCCCTCGTGCTTGGTTAATAAGATATATTTTCTTGCTAGTGGGGTGATATTGTTAGGAGAGATTAGAAGCTAGTAACCATTAGGGCTAAGAGGCTTAAAAAACTTTCATACCTTGATGAGATTAAATTAACAGTTATTACCTTTTTTCTTTCCTACAGTAACAAGCCCCAGGCCTTCAAGAAACCTTAGTTTATGGGGATCATGTCTAATCTTGACAGGAAGCTCATCTGCCACTCTCTCTGCTTTAATTCTTTTGGCCAGGCTGCTGGGAGATGATCTTTCAGTTGATTTTGGTCTCTGCATATCTACCAAAATAATGTAGAGGATTTAGCAATAATTTCCATAAAATCCTCTACAATACAAAATATTAACAGCGTAAAAAAACGATCCAAAATAACTCACTTTCGGCTCACATCTGCTCCATTTTTTTTTTTTTTTTTTTT